ATACTTCTCTCTTTGAACCCCCCCCCAGCCCACAGAAACAAACAAAAGCAACAGCCAAGTCTCCCATTGTCTTCCCAGGTGGACCTCCACTTATTACGGTTTGACCAATGACTTATGATGCTTTGACTTGATAATGACAGAAAAGTGATAGGTATTCAGCAATTCTGAGTTCAGATCTTATCACAAGTCCAATCATCTCTCAATGTGGAACAGTGACAGTAATCACAGCTCCAAGTCAGCCACAAAATCAGGAGGGGAAATAGTCAATGTTCCATAGTGAGCTGCATTGCTAAGTCATGATGTGCAGTAGGCAAGGTGGGTTTGGTGAATTACGATAGTTTCAATTTTTGCAGGGCAGATGGGGATGTAACCCCATCCTAATTTAAGGAGTGTGTACATGTCTCTTCTCCTCCAGCCTGCTATACCAAGCCTCCATGAGTGGTAAGCCCGGGGATATTTCTCATTAGCATCTTTCACTAATACATCCAGCTTAGAAGAATCACTGACCACTGCTCTCAGGTGCCCTACACCTTCTGGACACTGGGACAGTGCCCTGTGGCTCACTTTCTCCCACTTGCCTCAGCTCCAATCCTACTGGTCCTTCAGGGCCCAGTGCATGCCTTCCATGACGCCTTCCCACACTCCTCAGCCAGACAGATGCTTTTCCTGCTTCATGTTCCTGTGGCTCCTTATATATTTTTATGACATTTCATCACTTCCCAGCTTATGTTGTTATAATATGATGCATGGCTCATTTCCACTTATTAAGTATAAACCCCCGCAGGCTGGGGCTTGGCCTTATGTAACTTTGCTTTTCCCAGCAGGCCCCGCCCTGTGTTAGGGGAAATATTTCAATAAAAGAAGGAATAAAAACCAGGAGAAAGAACATTGCTATTTTCCTGCTCCCTGCTACTGACTTTAAGAGAGCGACATGATGTGTTTTGGGGTGAGAGAGCAGGGAGGAATGAGCAAGAGACCATATTTATAGGTGATTAACGCTTTCCAAGGGAAATGAAAGATTTGCAATCATTACTACTTTGCAAAGCTTTATTTTCCCACTTAAAGGCCAGCCATCCAATTTTGCAATCTGAAAAATAACAGAAAGCCAGCAGCACATGGAAGGCCATCCCCATAGTCTCAGTGGCTATTTTTAGGTCATTGTAATGTGGTTTGGGCAGTGAACAGCTTCTCCAGCTCAAAGATCCTTCTGATTTTCTCATCTATGTTTACTTCTTATGCTCCCTCTGGCCCAGGTCCAGGTTCCTCACCTCATTCTTGTGATGCCATTTCCCCACTGGACCCTCCAAGTTGGCCTACCTAACAGCTGACCCATAGCCACTTCCCTACACATCTCTGTGGGTAGCCACAGTTTGTGGAACTTGCTGATGACCATCTGTGTTATGAGGGCCCATGGGCTCCAGAATGTTGTGCAAAGGTGGAGATGGCAGGCAGCCCTAATCAGGGAATAGACAGAGACAGCAAGATACAATGCTCTCTTACAAGTGTGTTTGGTTTGTTCTAGCAAAAACAGTGGGGGACCTTAATGAACCAAATCTTGATTTACTACTTCTGATTAGTAATTCAAAGACCTAATCCCAAATCATGCAGCTTCCCAGCACTGGGGCCCAGCCCATGACATTCCCGTGGGCAGCAGGTTCCCATCTCTTCCCTCCACTGGCTTCATCACTGTGACTTTAGTGTCCCAGCCAAGCACAGGGCTGAGTAAAAACACCATGAAAGATTGAGTACAGAGATTAGGGCAAGCTTCTGGGACTTCCTACCATCCAGCATTTAACAAGGTGGTTTGTACATGCAGCAAGTGTAACAAACACCTGCCACGTGAACCCAATAGAACCCAATGGGTTTTGCCATAAGGGGACATTGGCTTAAGTTGGCTTCAGTCTCACATTTGCTTCCTTGACCTCTGCCACCTGACCTTGGACATGGACTACTGGAGCTCCAGTTTTCTCTAAGGCCAGGCTATCTTTAAGTCACCATCCATCACCCACACTCTCTGACTTTACTTGTGAGTTGCTAGAACCCGTCACCTAGCAGTCAGATAACTTCTGCTGTCCTGAATTTCCACAAATGCCAACTTCCCCGTGTGTCTACCCATCTTGCTCCTCTCCACTCTCATGTCCACACTTCAGTCAGAAACATCTAACTCGTCACCTTTCTTACATAAACCACATCATTAACTCTCTGGATAAGACTTTTTCTTAGAAAAGCATTCAGTTTAAAAGTCCAAGTTCATTGATGTGGATTCATACTCTCACTTCTCCCTGCCCTCCAGCTCAGTGGGCTTCTCCAGCCTTTTCCTGAAGGTCTTTTCCACATCTCTGTTGACTTTTTCCTACTATGTCTTTGGGTATCAGTGTAGACAACTCATCCTTTCTCTTTAGAAAGGCAGCCTTGAACATGCCAGTGCATGCCACAGACCTGCATTTGCCTTTACTCCAGTCTCATCACTCTGCTCCCCACCATCTGTTCACACTCCTCCTTCCCAGAGAGTCCTCAAGCACAGTGGACTTCGTGTACCTTGCTGCACCTTCAGTGTCTTAGCACAGTGCCTGGCACTTGGGAACAACTGAAGGGACATAGGAGGAGCCTGTAGCCACTTCCCTCCTATTGCATCTTCTTTCCCCAACCTCCTGGGTGGCCTGCATGTTTGCAACACCTATCCAGGTACTGACAAGCCAAGACTTTGTGGCCACCACCTTTCTCTTTTGTGGCCCCTACAGTTTTCCTCAGTAATAGCAGTGGTCTTTGGTGCTCTTTAATCCCCAAAGAGGAAAAGGACAGGGGTCACATATGTAAATTGGTGATCAAGTTTTGAACCCTAGGTAGAAAAAGTTAACACGTCAAAGGTACTTATATAAAAACTCCAACCATTATGCTTGGCAAAAAGTTGAAATCCATAAAAATAGAACATACAAATTCATGTTTAGTAAGCCAGACTTGACTTTGCTTTTTTTCAACGTGTTAAATGAGAAAAATATCTCTATGTGTATATGCTCATATCACAAGCCAGGTCCCAGACACTACAGGGATTAATATTTTTTGGTTAAGTCATATATGATGAATACATGAGACATATCCCACCACTTTTCAATCTATGCTACTGTAAGGCACTGCTTAATAATCACACAACTTTTTTGCCCTCAAGCTTCAGAATCTTCCTTAACACAATGCTCCAGATACCAACGACTGTACCAGTAGATCTCCAGTAGTTCTCTAAAAGTGTCTCGTTTTTTAATTCAAAGTCCCAGACGCTGAAGAACAATATAGAGTACTGTTAGACTGAGGTACATTATTGAGCAAGTGCATTCTTCAAGACAGGAAAAGCAAAGACTTAAGGTACTTGGGAAACAGGGGTATGGACAGGAAAGAGGAATGGATGGCAGAAAAGGGAAGCCAGGTGTAGATAGGCGCCGGCATGTGAGCCATGGGCACCAAATTTCTTCATACTATGATAAGGGCTGGTGAAATCCATGAAATAACCCCAAATTGTGTTGGAGGCTTGATTACCAACCGAGGGCTTTTGAAATGATTGGATCATAAGGACTCTAACTTTATCAACTAGATTAACCCACTGATATAATCATAATTTGATAGAATTATTTGGAGGTGATTGAAACAGGAAGTGGGGATTAGTTGAAGGAAATGGATCATGGGCTATGACCCTGAGGACTATAACTGGCCCCTTTCCTCTCTGGCTTTTTCCCTCTGCTTCCTGGCTACCATGAGGTGAGCAGCTTTCCTCCACTACACCCTTCCACCATGATATTTTTGCTTCCCCACACACTTACAAGCAATGGACTGAAACCTCTGAAATCATGAGCCAAAATAAACTTATCTTCCTGTAATTTTTTTCCTCAGGTATTTTGTCACAGTGACAGAAAACTAACTGACACCCAAGTGCTGCTAAAGCCCAGGTCCTTTGGAATGAGATCACCCTCTTTTGCTTCCATCCCTGACAGAGCACTATACTAAATTACAATCCTTGTATTAGGGCCATTGTCAAGATTGTCACACATGGACAGCTTGCGTGAGTCTAGAGGAGAAACACTGATTGGCTTCCAACCTGCAGGTCTTGTGCTCAGTGCAGCCCTTTCAGAAGGAGCAAAGATGTGGTGCTGGGGGAGAAGGCTACAGAACAGAAGGAAGGCTCCTGGCCAGGGAGTCAGTAGAAGTTCTAGCACCTTCCTTGACCATTAGGCAATATTTCTGGGAATGACATTCACCAGGTGATTGAATGATGAAATCCAGGCCAGCCACTTGAGCACCTCCCATGCCCCCAGCAAGGCTGAGCTGCAGGCCTTTGGGTGATGGTACAAACACCCACTAGGCGCTCCAGTGCCAGGTGTGGATGCAAATAACCCCATGATGGTATGGCAACAGGAATGGTCAAAATTAGCACCCCTACCTGTCAAATGCCTTTTTAGATGGAATGTGTATTAGATACCTCAGATCATTCAGCCATTCAAATATTTTAATTGTGAATGGAACCCAAGATAAAATTTTCCTGAGAAAGCAACATGTATGGCTTTGCAATGATTAATTCTTCATGAGGGGGAGAGAAGACGTTATGACTTGGGTGCATGCACACCTGCACGTTGTGTTTCAAAATCAAATAATACACTGGGTGTGATGGTGTATGTCTGTCTGTAATTCCAGCACTGTGGGAGGGTGAAACAAATTCAAGCCCAGCCTGGGCAACTTAGTGACTTAGAGAGACCATATCTCAAAATAAACAATAAAAAAATAAAAAATAAAAAAGGTTGGGATATAGCTCTGTGCAAAAGTCCTAATTTTAATCCCCAGTATGAAAAAATAGTATAAAACAATAAGAATCCTTCTTACCCAGAAATTTAAAGATGGTCAAATCCCCATTGAACCAACATAAAGGGACTCTGCCACAAAGGGCTGTGTGCTCTCATGGAGTATGATTCAGGGTCTTGAGTGACAAGCTTAAGTGGACTTTCCTGTGGAATTCCTACCTGCTGATGTAACCAACGCTGCTCACAGCCAACAGGGTGAGTCCTGTCTTCCTCGAAGGATAGTGATGAGGTCTGAGGATGATTTCAATCAGTGAGAATAATAGTATGAAAGAGTGCTGTAGGAGAAAAGTTGGAAAATCATAAGGACAGGGTGCGCTGAGTGCCAACAGTGCCCATAACTCTCTCTCTCCTCTCCATCGATCTACATACTCACAGCCAGACAGCATCCTAAACTTGCTTTGCATCAAGCTCCATGGATTTTTAGGGACCTGTTTCCCACCACGTTGATCCATACTCCTCTGTCTGGCTACCAAGACTCTTTGAAATGTTCTATCACCCTCACTGGTCCTGCTTATCTCACATTAGCACATATACACGTGTATGCACACACACATACATCCCCTAACATGTGCATACAGAAGCATACACACTCACTCTCAAAAGCACACTCCTACATGCACGCACGGTCTATGGTCTATTTCTCTCTCTCTCTCTCTCTCTCTCTCACACACACACACACACACAAACACACACACACACTTACACTCCCCTCCACTGGAACAAGGCAGTGTCCCACATTCTCCTTTGTTCCCTGTGTGCTGCTGCCACTTCCAGACTCTTGTTGGTGTCTCCTTGCCCTGTGCAGACCCCATGTTCTCTCCCTCCCCTCTGACCCTCTATGTTCTTTGAAGCCAGTGCAGTCTTGCACGGTGCTTTCCTCTTGCTAATTTCTCTCTCGGTTCTCCTGCAATCACAGCCTGTGCCACGCGGTCTAGCACCTTGGACAGATATCTGCAAACTGGGCTGGGGTGCACAAAGCCCGCCCTACTATCTCCGCACTCCCCATAGCACACAGAGCCTCGGGACTGAGCTGGCTGGCTGTGCTGAGGGTGGCAGGTGCCATGGGGCTTACATAAGTGTCCCTCTGAAACGGTCCTTGCTTCCTTCCTTCCCTACACCCCCTCCTCATAACCATCTGCTTTTTCTCATCTTCCAAACTCTGAAAACAAGATTTTTGAAATGCCCTGAGCAAGGAAATCCACCTTTAGGAATAGAGGTGCTGTAGATTCACGGCCGCCGGGGCTCACTCACTTCTTGGTCATCCAGGAAGGTAACTGGGGCCTGAGTGAAATGGTCCTTCCATTTACTGAAAACATTTACAAAGCCCTCTGCCACCCTCTGTCCTTACTGGTAAGGTCCAGTAGTGTTACTGTTTTCTATTTGTCACTGTCACAGCTGTCTCTCCTCCTTCATTGCCCCAATTGCCACAGCTCTTCGAAACTCTTGCACCCAGACCCCCCACTTGCAAGCCCCATTCCAGTCCTGATCCTGAGCCCGTGGGTGGCTGCCAGCCGCTCAGTTACGGGAGTCCCTGGGGCTTGGGAGTGCCACTGTGCTCCTGTGCCAGCCTGTGTAGCTGGAACTCCTGTTGTGACCCCAGGCACCCTTTGCTGTCTGTCCCTTGGGTCTCATGCAGGATGTATCCCCAGGAAGCAGTGGCTTGTTCCAGGCTCAGCTAAGCTACCGAGGGCCCAATCAGGAGATCAAGATGACTCTCAGATGACAAGAAATATGGTAAGGTTTGGTGGAGCCAGGGTAAGGCAAGAAAGACCAAGTCTTAAGGACAGGGATGGGGCCATCACTGGGTGGACAGGGCTCTCTGGGGTCCCCAGGCAAGGCCACAGCTGGGTGACACAGGCCACCTCTTAAGGGCTTTGAAGACCTCACATTTTTCGTAACGAATTCCTCAGAAATAGCACTGCCAGAAAACTTTCGCTTTTCCATACTTTGTCTGGCGTTGGTCCTGAATATCCTGGCTGGCTAGACAGACAAATGGAAGAAATTCCAGGCCCACTCTCGTGTCTTGTACTTCTCTTTGGTCTGATTTTAGGCTGTTTCTGTGTCTCCTCCAATAAGGAAGTGTGATGTTTAAGGACACATACTTCCGGGCGATGGGTTAGTTCCGGAATGTCTCTAAACTTCAGATTCTGCTTCACCAAATGGGGGCAATGAAAAGGAAGGACTTCTTCCTAAAGGCTGCTGCTGTGAGCTGAGGTTAGGATACTTAACGAGCTCTCAGGGAGCATTAGCTGTGGTTGTTACTATTACCAGAGTGACTGTCATCCTTCATGGCAGTGGTAGGCCCAGGGGGCCTGCGGGCAAGATTCTGGGACACCCAGACTCCAGGTACTAGGTGCCCCTGGCTTCCATGTCCCCTGGCCTGTGGTTGGCAGGAGGCTGCAGCATGCACAGCTCAGAAGGTGGGAGCAGAACTCTCTCGGGTCCCCTTCCCTGTCCATGGCTGGTGCCAAATCTCATAGCTGTGGTGGCCCCAGGACCCTTACAATACTCATGACTGACACCAATGCTGTCTTTATCCAGAGGCCACCTCCAGAGACAAGAGATAGAGCTGTCTGTCCTGTGCAGCCACTTGCCTGCCTTCCCTCCGCTGCTCATTAAGAGCCATTAACAGGCTCATTATGCTGGCCATTGATCTGACAGATTTTATTACCTTTACCCACAATCAGTGGCTCCCAGTTCTCTGCATTAATGATCATTGGGAACAGAATTCCTGTGGAATAATGTAGTGGGTTTGCATTAGGAGTAAATGAGTTCGCAGTGGTTAATACTTTTACAGCAAACAACTTGGGAATGCATGGCTGGTCACCTCTTTGACGAGCCTGCCCTTTGCTAGCAACATTCAATTGGATTTCCAAATGAATTCTCCCTGATGGCTTCTGGGAAATTTACTTCCGTGATGTCATTAGTGATGGGCCATAGATTGTGGCTTCAAACCAGCTAACAGGTCTTTAAAAGGATCACATTTTCTGGTTGGGGCTGGGAGTGGGCATGAGCAAAGAAGGAAGACCACATTCTGTGAGCTCTCTAAATATTGAGCTGCAGTAGATGGGGAGCCTGGTATTGCAAACGTACTGTAATTTCACTTCACGTTGACATAAATTACATAACCTTTGTCAGATAGCACATATTTCCCCCCAAAAAAGAAGGATAAAAAGCCAGTAACAGAAAAATCAAATATGCTTTCTGCTTCCAAAAAATCTAATAATTAGGCTAGGATTGACACAAATTAAAATGCTGCCAAAAATACTGAAAACAGTGACTCATTCTGTATTTCAATTAACAGTTTCTCAGTTTCCCTTATAAACAGAGAAGCTGACAAAAATTAATTATCTCCGACGGGTAAAATATTTCCTTCCGAAGTAAACAAAGCATCATGAGCTGAAACAATGGCGTGTGTAAACAAAGGAGAGGAGCGTGGTTTCCCTGCTTGTCAATGAAGTCATCCCTCCGGTAGACTTTCCTGTAGCTGTCGCCTTCTAGGACAATGTAAGAACAGTGTTCTTCCTATCTCATTCTTTTGTCTTGCCATATCCATCCCTTTCCCTCCTCCTATCCTTTGTATAATGCCAACTTTTATCTGAATATCTTAGACACAGCAATAAGCATGAAATAATTGATTTCAGTACTAGTATAATAAGTGCACTTTAAAATCTCTGGGTACAAAATAGCCTTGTCGTAAATACTAAGATTTACCAGCGCACGGAACATTCTTATGTGATAGCATGAGTAGCAACTAGGAAAAGATGATACTGACTTGAGACTTGTTTCTACTCATCCTAGCAGATAAGGAGGTGTTATGGACAGTTTCACTGCAGAAGGGGGTTAAGTGACAGTGGTGACATTTGGCCTGACTTGAAAAAGAGACAAGACTTAGTCACCGAGATAACCGGGAACCGACAGTTCTCCAGGGTCATGGGGGTTCCACGGGCTGCATCCATGAAGACTGATCATAGGCTTTTCCTAAGGTTCTTGGGGGCTCAGGATCCTTTGATATTCTCAAGTGAAAGAAATTCAGGAAGCCTGCACATTTTAAAAATCATATGAGGCAGGCATGGCAGCTGTCATCCCAGAACTCTGGGAGGCTGGGGCAGGAAGATCACAAGTTCATGCCCAGACTGTGCAACTGAGTGACTTAGCAAGACCCGGTTTTAAAATAAAACATAGAAGGGAATGGGGAATGAAGCTCCATGCAAAGGCCTTCAGTTCAATCACCAAATTTTTTTAAAAAAGCAAATGATAACATTTTAAAATGTGATCTCTGCCTCTTTCCTCTGTTCCATTTCCTGGTGAACTATCTCTTGTGTTAAATTGAGTTGAGCTGACCAAGCTAAACCAAGGAGCCAGCTTCCGGCCTCTCAACCCAATCACTAGAAATAATGGGCCAGCATCACTTTGCCTGCTTCTTATGTGTCTCAGGTCTCCCATTCTTTTCTCTGCTTGGGGGACACTTACATTAGAAAACTAACCCCTGATATTGGCTCCGCCCAAACGATGACCTTCCCTCCAAGTCCCCAACATGACGCTTCTGGTTTGTTTTGGGTGCTAATGGATAGAGACTTTTCAATGAGGTTTAGTTCGTTAACAAGATTTTTTCATTTTGGGGTACATGAAAGAAGATTTCTGTGCTTATGTTATATTAGATATGTCTTCCTTTATTTACAAAATGGAAGTCTTCACAAATGCTCCTTGGGGACAAACAGATGGTCAAAACATCAATTATAAACACAAGAGAAGTGGAAATGGAAACAAAAGCAACCCTTAATGGAGCATCATTATACCCGGCTTCTTGTTGCATTGCCAGATCTTGCTCCTTAAACTTGCAACCTCCATGCAGTAAGACAGGCAGTGATAGCTGATCTGTAAATCCGGCTAAGGCACTCCCTGGTTCCGCTGTTACCATCCATTTGCCAGCTAACAACTCTCTCATCACTAACTCCCCTCTCCCTACGTCTTGCTCCTTCTGCCTCTAACTTCCCACAGGACAATGAGGAAGGTCTTGGACACTCCTCAGGGAATATTTTGTATCCCAAAGCAGAGACTGATTACCTGTATCCTCTCTGTCCTTTACATGACTAAAGGTGTAGTTTTGCTTGAGGTAAACCCGATATTAGGAAATTAGGAACTATATGCACCGGATACAGAACTTTTATCTCCATGTGACTTTTAAAAAGTATCTTCCACCTACATTACTTGCAGGATTTTGTTTTTCAGTCTCAAATGCTGAAGTTTTGAAAGAATTTGATTTTTTAAAAAT